AGTATTGATATCTTTTTGTTTACTAAACGTTCAGTGGCAAATATTTCTTGCATGCTCCGGACGAGAACAAATTATCTATTTCAGTTTATTTTCGACTTATGAGTTTGAATGTCCCTTTGCTATCTTTTGCCTCACTTTTAGTATAAAAATAAGATGTGATGATTTGGCTATATAATATAAAAATAAGGAGATGTGGTATTATTGCCAAGGAGACAACTACCCAAAAGTTCAAATGAAGCGGATGTAAGCAATTATAGGCAACCTTACGGCCTTCAACAATGAAAAAACTATACCGTAGATAACATCCAATAGATTGAGTGACCATATGACATAAATGTTAGAATATATAAGTTACCGTACAGCCTTCAACAATGAGCAAAACCCATGACCCATAGCAAGCTATAAAAGGCCCCTACATAACAAAATTTAAAAACTGTTATAATTCAAACGAAAAAAAATAAACGGCATGATATATGGCAACAGTCGACAACCACTGAAATAAAGGGTTACTAAAGTACCGATCTGAGAGTACTCTCAAGTTACCGAAAGCTAGTTCGAGCTTGTGTGAGCTTCGTTGTCATTGATTTTTTTTTTGTACAAATTGTTATAATAAAGTATAAGACTATAAACATTTTATTTGTTTTATATATGTAGGTTGTTTGGATTATTTTTTTTCTGTATAAAAATAAGGAGATGTGGTTATAAGTTTTGTGCAGTTACAGCCAAACTTCTTCAGCAATTTTTGTATCTATAAAAGAATTTAATAAAGGTTGTAAGTAGTTTGCAGTAACAAATTCCCTGACTAAGTGAAGATAGTTATATTTATTTGTTTATGTACTTTATAGTATATCATGCTTTAGTATTAAAAGTGTGCTAGTTAAGTAAAAAAAACCGCTTCCCTTCGAGCTTGTGTGAGCTTCGTTGTCATTGATTTTTTTGTACAAATTCAATATAATAAAGTATAAGACTCTAACATTGTATTTAATAGAAAAACAAAGGATATGGGGTATCCATCCATGACACAAAAGCAGTAAATGCACAACAAAAAAAAAAACATACAAAAAGCAAAGGAACAGCGCTTTCATTGCTGTTCTTCATCTCAAAGTCACAGTGAGACCTCAACACGGAGCAAAAAAACCTCTCACCTCACTGCATGTTTAATACGGCCCCTAGCACCGGCTTAAGCGGAATTGTATTTTTATTTTCTGTATACAAATAAGGAGATGTGGTATGCTTGCCAATGAGACAACTGTCCATCTGATACCAACTGACAGGAATGTAAGCAACTGTTGGTCAACACACGGCCTGCACCATACCGTAGAATAAGCTATAAACGGCCCGGACAAGACAAAAAATTGAACAAATTATTTAAGAAACACAACGGCCTGATTTATGCTAAAACATATGCTAAAACATATTCCCCTGGGACCCAATTATAAAAGGGTCTTACTATAAATGTTATAGGGAGTATAATAAGCTACGTAAATATAAACAAAGGAAATTTAAACAAAACATTCTTGACAGTCTGGATAATCTAAGGGATAATAATCCAAAGAGTTATTGGAATCTCATCAAAGAATTAAAAGAAGACAATTTGGATGGTCCAGAACATTCTATTCAAACTAACGTCTGGTTTTCATATTTTCAATCTTTAAATCTCAACTCTGACAAATTTAAAGACAGATTAGAGGAAATTAACAAGAAAGTAAAAAATTTAGAAAATAATCCAACTTTTTGTGAACTGGATTACAAAATAACCCTAAAAGAAATTTTGGATGCTATAAATAAACTAAAGAATAATAAAGCTGCAGGACTAGATGGTATCCCAAACGAGATATTAAAATCAGGGGGTAGTATATTTGCACCTGTTTTGCAGAAACTTTTTAACTTGATATTCTGCTCTGGAACATACCCTCGCAAATGGTCATTGTCTTATATATGTCCAATTTTTAAAGCAGGGAGTCCTAGTAAACCTGAAAATTACAGAGGCATAGCAATTAATTCATGCATTGGAAAATTATTTAACAGTATTCTTAATAAAAGACTTGACATTCATCTTGATAAAAATAATATAATTCATCCATGTCAGGTTGGTTTCTCAAAAAAGAGCAGAACATCTGACCATATGTTTGTTTTAAAAACCATATTAGATAAATATACTAACAGAAAAGGGGGGAAAATTTATGCTTGCTTTGTGGACTTTAAAAAGGCTTTTGATAGGGTCATACACTGTGGTATTAGATACAAATTATTGGAAAATAACATATCTGGAAAATTTTATACTATTTTAAAAGACATGTACAGAAAAAATGAAATGTCGGTGAAAGTGGGTAATGTACTAACGCCATCTTTCAGCTCGCTAGTTGGGGTTAGGCAAGGGGATGTTCTAAGCCCAAATTTATTTAAGCTTTTCATTAACGATCTGCCTCCAAGATTTGAGTCGAGTCCAGATGCTGTTTATATCAATGGGCGTAGAATTGATTGTCTTATGTACGCCGATGACATTATTATATTATCAAACACTAAACAGGGTCTGCAAACCCGACTTGATAACCTGCAAACTTATTGTATTGATTGGTGTCTAGATGTTAACTTGTCCAAAACAAAAGTTTTAATTTTTAACAAGCCTGGAAAATTTTTGAAGGAATCACTTTGTTTAGATAATGAGGCTATAGAATGTGTTAACATATATAAATATTTAGGGATAGTTTTTACTTCCAGTGGTCTTTTTCAGCAGGGGAAAGAAGAGCTATTCAAAAAGTCCTTAAAGGCAAAATTTAAACTACAAAAATCCATGTCAGCTTGTAATCCAAGTATTGATACTGCAATCCATTTATATGATCACACAATAAAACCAATTTTATTATATTGTAGTGAAATCTGGGGTACCTTTAAGATTAACTCTGCTGCTTGCAAGAAAAAAAGTGATTATCTATTTGAATTAATTTACATAAATGATTATTTGGAAAAATCACATTTCAGGTATCTAAAATATATTCTTGGTGTAAATAAAAAAGCCTCAAATTTGGCAGTGTTATCAGAGGTTGCAAGATTTCCTCTTTATTTTTCTGTCATTATATCTATGGTAAAATATGTACACAGGCTTAACAAATTGGACGATGGGTTACTTTATGATGCTTATGTTTGTAATAAAATTTTAGATGCAGGAAACATTAATTGTTGGTATTCATCTATGAGATATGTCCTTCAATCACTTGATATACAAAATTTGAATACAAAGCTCAATAGATTAATTAAATTTGTAAAATGTAAACTTTGTAACAGTTTTAAAACATTTTGGGGGGTCAAAAGATCTGATACCTTATCACAAGGTAATAGTAAATTAGAAAATTATTTCAACCTCAAGACTGACTTCGTAAAGGAGGCTTATTTATCAATTAAAGATTTTAATATAAGAAGAGCTATATGTAAATTGAGAATAAGTGCACATGATCTTAAAATTGAGAAAGATAGGTATAGTAAAAAATACATAGAGAGAAGTCAGCGTCTATGTCATCACTGCCTATCACATGGATCAAATTCTATTGAAGATGAGACCCATTTCACAGTAAGTTGTCCTTTATATAACGAACAGAGAAAATTATTATGGGATAAAGTAAACAGTTTTTGTAATAATTTTAAAGAATTACCCAAGGATAAAAAATATTTCTGGCTGTTCACAAATGAGCATTTACCAACTCTTATGTGCCTAGGCAATTATATAATTAAGTGTTTAGAAATAAGATCCAGGTGGATACAAAATATATAAAATTATTATGCAATTATTGTTAATGTTATGTAAGACACATGATGTGTTAGGCTCTGATCCTGTCCAATATATGATAGTATTATATTAGGATATAGTTTTTCTTTTTTCCAATCATATTGTGCTTAATATTGTTGTAAATGATGCCCTTTATGGGTTCTTGATTAGATTAATAAAATTCTTATCTTATCTTATCTTATCTTATACATAAAACAAACATGTCGTACAGCAACCAACGACAACCACTGAATTATTGACATTTGGCTTAGTACAGGCACATAAAGAATGTGGCCGGGTTAAACATTTTATTTTGAGCGCTCAACCTTCCCGTACATGTGGCAGTGATGTTACAGTATCACTTACGAACAAACTGTAAAAATTAATTGGAAGGGGCTTAACCCGTCTGATAGGCACGAAGCACAAACACAAATGATAGAATATGGAATAAAAAGACACAACGTACCGATCTAAGGGTACGCGCAGTTGCTAGTTAAAAGCCAACTATACAACTATAAAATAAATCATTTTTACAGAGACGTTGTAAACAGTCTGAGGAAAGTATTGCCTTAATATGCATGCCAAAATATAAGCATCGCGAGTATGTTTAACCATATAAAGTGTGCATAACTATACAGCAATACACATTTAGTTAATTATTATATAATCAAGTGTATAGTAACGATAAAAACTGTAATCAACGATCTTGCTACAGTGTTAAATTAAAGTAAAGGTTGGAAGAAACTTTAGGTAACGGAATCTCTGACTTCATAATTGTTTCATTCTCCTGTAATAAGAACCATATAGGAATCTATACTTTAAACTTAAATTTACTGTATTGACTTCTTATGTAACTGATGTGTACTTAAAATAAAGATCTGCTGTGGGTTTTTTTATACAAATAGTATGCTCGATGTTATCAAACTAGGAAGGTATAATGTTTGAAAGTGATTAAATATACTAGATAACATGATAAAACCAATACCTCTGTTAACGTAATTTGTTTCATTTTTGTCGGATTTATGTTATCAATGTTCTGAATCAAAATTAATTCCTTATTTATGAAAATATGTTTAATCGGCTCAAAGTCGTTACCAGGCATTAGAAATATTAAGACTGATAAGGCGCATCACATTTTACTTTGACTAATTATAGGTTACTATGATTTATACATCTTACCCTTCCTGTATGTATCAAACCGTTCAATCTAAATTTAGTTTATCTGTATATTATATATATGTAATGATTAAACAATTTAATGTTATCTCCTTGAAACAAAGATGGACGAACGTGTGCTTGTAGTCTTCACATTCATGTTTGTTAGTGTTTACAGCAGTCAGGTGTTGTTAGTATCTATGGATGGCTTCAGATGGGACTATTTGACGAAATTTTCCACTCCGAACTTTGATCGCCTAGCTCGAAATGGAACTAAAGCCAGTTATATAAATAACACCTTTATAACGAAGACATTCCCCTGCCATTATACTATAGTCACTGGTAAGTCGTATTTTAAAAAGTTCATCTACATATATTTCTTTCCTTTGGCTAGTGCTTTTACAGCCGTTCTGTTAATTGTTATTTAGTACTTTAACCAAGGTTCGACCATTCAATATTTGTGGATTTTTTTTTAATTAAATTGTTTGCATGTAAATTTAAAACAAGTCATAAGTTTCAGAAGGGAAATGAACAAAAATTGTTTTTTTTTATTGAGAATTAGTTAAAAATAATTTTACTAATTTCGAAACAAATTGTTATTAAAAAAAATGATCTGAGAAAAGAAAAAACTACGCCCTCTGCCAAAAATATGAAGGTCGCGGGGTTTATGGTCTAGATCATTGAGGTTGTCATCTTCTTGTTAGTTGTTGCTTTTTATTTTATGTTATTGACTTTAACTAAGTTAATGACTATGAATTAAGTATTGAGTATGTAATCCATTGAGACTATAAGCCAACTATGAATATAATGAAATCAGAAAAAAACGCATAGTTGTCGTTTGTTTCTGTATATTTTCTCGTTGAATTGTTTTACATTTGTCATTTCGGGACCTATTATAGCTTACTATACGGTATTGTGACATATAGTTGCTAACTTCTATGTTATTTGGCCTCTGGTGGATAGTTGTCTCATTGGCAATCATACCACTTCTTATTTTTATATATACAGGAACAGGCTTCATGGGTCTCAACATAAGCAAGTGTTTATACCATGATATTGTCAAGTTCTAAAGTAAATTCCTTTTTAGCAATACAATTAACAAAATTAAAGTCATTGGAGTTATTGTTCCATGAGTTTTTTGTTGGCGATGGAGAGAAAAAGTAAAAGAGAGGCGAAAGCTATACATAAGGGATATTCAAACTCACAAATCAAAAACAATCTGTCAACACCATGGCAAAAAATGAAAAACCATCAAAATACAAATAGTATATACAACACAACATAGAAAACTAAAGAATGAACTGTATTTTTATTGGTATTCCGATATGGACTAACTGTTTCTCTCCTATAATGTTATATCAAAGATGTGTTCGTTTACTGCTATGAATTACAGTTTATGGTCAAATATAATAAAGAAAGAAAGAGCTATCACCATCTGATAGATCAAACTCAACTTTCTCCTACTGCATCCAAAATTAATAATGATCAGATGTTTTGATATGTATGATTCAAATGGCATGATTTTAAAAACGGGAGTTTTACATACTCAGCTTTATTATTATTTTGTACTTGTCTTTTTTTTTTTTTAATCTTTTCTTCTTTGTTTGATGCGTGTATTGAAACTGTTTTTTTTTCAATCTGGTATGTTTGTACGTTGGGTAAACACAAATTCGCCTATGTTTAATAAAAACTAAATGTTTCTCCGTTTATTTTTCTTTCTTGTAATTCTGTACAATTTTACACTGAGCATTCCTCTACGAACATGTCTTCCTTTACTTTTTATGACGCCTTTTATGACGTTGTTGTATGAATACAGCCGTGTTTATACGAGAAGGGCGACAGTTGAAACCTAAAACAAAATTTAATCCCACCACATGGTTATGTGTGTGTACGTACTAAGTCAGGAATTGTGTGGATGGTTGCCTTTAGTTCTATTTCAAGTATTGCCTTCTAATTTACTTCCGACTTTTCTAAACTTAAGGCGTTATAGCGCTTGACATATCACGTAGACACTTGTCTACTGTTGAAAAATTTCTGTTGACATAAAGATGTCTTTTGACATCCTGTTGCGATGACATATACGTTACCCGACATCTCCTTTTATTTATAATGTTATACCTTAAAGGAAAAGGTTAGAATAAACAATGCAAATTGTTATGGTCTATGCGTTGTTAACGTGCAATTGTTACAAACTTGTGGTTTTTTTTGTTTCTTAATTCTGTATTAGGATTTTCAGAGCACAACTACGTGGATATCGGCTCTCAATAAATTTTCAATTACAATTTACTTACACTTTAATATCGTCTGGTACACCTCCGCATGCCTCCGCGTAGATTAAATACCGTGGAACGTCGAGAACAGTGCAGAAAATCACAATATTTCAGAGTGTATATAAATTTGATAGATGAAAATATTAGTAATTTTATAAAATTCAAAAGGACTTTTTTCAATACTTGATAAACAGTAATAAAAAGGTTTGGTTTCAAATGCGACTTTTTATTAAATCCCTGCAAGTCAAATTATACTTCCCGAACATATTCGTAAATTTGTGATAAAATTCAGACAAAAAATAAGGATAAACATATGATTTTGATCAAAATCTGAATTATTATTGCAAATATGTGCATATCAAACCAAATACTAGTAAGAAACGTTTACTGCATAACAAGTATCTTTTGAACTTTTTAGGTTTAATTTACCGAATCCCTTATTTTCGCAAATATTGTAGTAAGACTTTTTGTCGGTTGTTGGAGATGTAGTCGTACCGACATTAATGTTCCTGTCTTTTAGTCTGTGTTAAATACTTAGTCTCGTTGAACAAACATACTTTGCATAAAAAAAGGTTAAAAGATGCTATGATTGAATTGTAGGTCTATATGAAGAAAGCCATGGTATCATTGGGAATCACATGTATGATCCAGTATTTAACAGCACGTTTAGCATGCAAACTTACGAAACGAGATGGTGGAATGGTGGAGAACCATTATGGGTAACGGCTCGTCGTCAAAACCTTAAAAGTGCCACGTATTTCTGGCCAGGAAGTGAGGCCAAAATCAGGGGGTACAGGCCAAACATATGGTTTCATTATAACGAATCGGTGCCTTTTAAAACTCGTATCGATACTGTTATAACATGGTTGGCAGATAAACAAATAAATCTTGTAAATTTGTATTTCCATGAACCAGACGCAACCGGACATGCTTTTGGTCCCGATTCACCTCAGATTAGGGACAAGGTTATAGAAATGGATAAGATTTTAGGATATCTTTTGGATAAATTTGACTCACATAATCTCTGGAACTATGTGAACTTGATAGTGACCAGCGACCATGGAATGACAACTATAGATACTGCTAAAAAAGTAGTGGACATTACGGATCATGTGGATATGAGCAATATACAGTTTACTGTTGACAACGGCCCAATAATGCAGGTGCAACCTGCTTTGGGACAGATAGATAATGTTGTCCAGAGTCTTCAGAATGTTTCACATATATCAGTTTTCAAGAAGGAAGAAATACCCGATCACTGGCACTACAAAAACAATAGACGCATCATGCCAGTATTTCTGCTTGCCGAAGACGGTTGGTCTATCACAAAAGTAAGTGAAACTATTTTATGAAGATATACATGACATTTAAAAAATGCAATTCAAAGTTTATTTCCGAAAATAAAATGCATATATACTGCATACTGGGCCATTCGTTATCACACTGATATCTATTCAATTGAAAATCATCTTTGTCTATAGTTAGTTGACAAATGTTCTGTAAAAAAGGTTGGATATCAATCAAATATCTATCAATCGACAGTGTACGAAGGAAACTCGTCGAATTTTAAAGTTGGAAGAAATGGAAACAAGTACAAACCTGCACACTGCATAAGAAAGCCACCGATATTTGGGTATGGGTTGGAATTATTTCATAACAAAAGTATAAATAATTATAGCTTGCTTATATAGTAACTACAAGCATTGTTTATTATTGTTTGTTTTTGATATCAGTTTTACCGTTATAAGAGAGTTAAGTGCTTTTCCTGTTCTGAATTTTAATGTTTGTTCTGTTTGTACGTTTTATAATTCCACTAGCTGAGAATAAAAGGGGAAGAGTTGAGATCGAAAGAATTTAGTTTTCAAATCCGCTTCATGTAAATGTATCTGTTCTAAGTTCGAAACCTCGTTATTAGCCTTTTGTCATATGTAAAGGAAAGGCGAAAGATACCAAAGGGATATTCATACTCAAGTCGAAAACAAACTGACAAGGCCGTGGCAAAAAACGAAAACCTTGTCAATGTTTTTTCTCTCTCTCTATTTGGGGAGTTTTTATGTTGACAATATGTACCGTTTAGTCTCTCGTGAATTTGTTCGATATTTTTTAGACTCGTGGCGATTTAGAGCTTGACATATTACAAGTATATAGGAACTTGTTTGCAATCTTATTAACTTAAAAAGCTATTTTGGCACGAAATCTATTTAAAGACGACTGTCCTAAAAACTTCCTAGATTAGAGTTTATAAATTGATTATCCTCTTACAACCTCCTTGTTACAACGAAGTAGCCGGTGCATTATTTTGCATTCGTCGTGAAATCACACTATGAGAAACTTACCCCTGGGACAATTTGCACACAAGTAAAGGCTGTGATTAAAAAAAAGAAAGAACTATTGTCATCCCATAAAAGACTTGAAAGTATAAAATCAACATTTCATACAATATTTCAGTAAAGTTTGAATCGTATAGTAGACAGACAAACAGTGTCTACATATAGCTCTGTCATTTTCAGATGATACAATCCAAGCGTAATACAATAATTAGCTTGACATATTCCTTATCGTAGGAAGTCGCTCATCAACAATCGTATGAGTGAAATGAAACCAGTTTTCTGGCTAGAGTGCCAAATATCAAAGAAAATTATATAACAGACCATGGTATTAAATTGACAATATAATACTTCCATGAACAGACACATTCAGGAGTATCAATATCTATCCCATGATCTATCATTAATTGAGAATACAACCTGCGCCAAACAACGGCAGTCTTATTCTCTGATATGGCTAATTCTCTTACAACGAAATAGCAGTTTATTTTTTTTTTGCGTTCACCGTGAAATCCCGTTATGACCAACTTACAACATTTGGGAACATTTACACACGTTTCACGGTTGTGGTTAAAAGAAAGAAAGAAAGAAATATTTTCTTGCCATAAAAGACTTGCAATTATAAAATCAAGATTTCATACAATTTAGTAAAGTTTGAAACGTAAAGTAGACACGATGTCCATACATAGCCCTGTCATTTTACAGCACTGCAATCCAAGATAATACAATAATGAAAGTTACCTTTTTCTAATTTCAGAACAAAGCTAAAGCAGCTTTGTATCGTGGGAGAGGCGCTCATGGTTATGACAACCGTCTTGATAAAATGAAACCTATATTTTTGGCTAGAGGTCCAAATATCAAAGAAAATCATATAACAGACACATTCAGGAGTATCGATATATATCCCATGATCTGTCATTTATTGGGAATACAACCTGCTCCAAACAACGGCAGTCTAACAGCAACTTCAAGTTTTCTTGTAGCGACTGGCACTAATGTCGCTTCTGCAAATATTGTTTCATTCTGGGCGTTCATTCTATCCACACTATTAGTATTATTGTGAAATACATTGAGTATCTTTAGACAATGATAAGGAAATAACTTTCCGTATTTTTACAATTATATATATTTATTTTCATCTGAATTGCAAATCTAGGATAACATACTTTACGGAGGGTAACGCCAAAACAATTAAGGTACATCATATTTACATGTTCCTTGAAAATAATTAGTACATTCTAAGGAAGTCAGCAAACAACAAAACAGTTTTAAAATCCATGTAATATGTAAACTAATAAAATGTAGTCTTTAATTTTATAAGCTTTAAGATCAAAAGCATTTAGACTGTGATTTAAAAAATCTTTTTCATCATAAACCAGCACATTGTAGTTTTGAAGCTTACATGTTATTCGTAAACTTAATATCGTTCGTTACATTAAATATATATCTGAAAATAAATGAGGACTTCATTTAGATACATTGTTATCAAGTTTGCCTCATACAATACACTCAGTCTGGTTAGACTAAGGCGTTGAAGGATCAGTTGATGTGTTTTGATTTCTTGTGCTGTTTAGCCGCATGCACTGACTATTAAATAAAGACACAAAGTATTCCCCTGCTTGACATACTCTAATAGTGTGGTCCTTCCAAAATTTACACAACGTCCTCCAATCCGTTGCGTTCGGTACTGCGAATACGAAAGATAGCTGTACGTATAAACAAACAAAACCTTAATTACACACACACAAAATTAAGACTTGTCTATCCCATGCAAGATAGAAACCCTTAATACAGTGGTTATCGTTGGTTTCTGTCTGCCTTATTTGTTTTTATACGACCGCAAAAATTTTTTTGGGTTCGTATAATGGTATGATGTCGTCGTCGTCTGCGTCGTCGTCGTCCGAAGACACATTTGGTTTCCGGACAATAACTTTAGTTTTAGCAAATGGATCTCTATGAAATTGTACAAGAAGGTTCAATACCACAAAAGGAAGGTTGGGATTGATTTTGGGGGTTATGGTACCAACAGTGTAGGAATTAGGGGGCAAAAAGGGGCCAAAACAAGCATTTTTGTAGTTTCCGGACAATAACTTGTGTGTAAGTGTATGGATCTCTCTGACATTGTACCACAATGTTCCATATCATAAAGGGAAGGCTGGGATGAGTTTGGGAGTAATTGCTCCAAACATGCAAGAATTAGGGGCAAACAAAGGGCCAAAAACAAGCATTTTTCTAGTTTCCAAACAATAACTTGTGTTTAAGTGTATATGGATCTCTCTAAAATTGTACTACAAGGTTCCATACTACAAAGGGAAGGCTGGGATTGAGTTTGTGGGTAATTGCTCCAAGGGGGGGGGGGGGGGTCAAAAAGTTTGGGGAGATTTTTTTTCCAATTTTTTTAAGGGGTTCATATTTTTTTTCTTCAAAATTTTTCAAATTTCAAATTTTTTGAAAAGTTTCAAGAAGAAATCTTCAATTGCACAGTATTGCGCAATAGATTTTTAAGATCTTTGGTCACATTCGTTTTGTGTCAGAAACCTATATTATGTCAAAAATTTGATTACCATCCAAATTCAGACGGTATCAAGCTTGAATATTGTGTCCAAATTTGCCCCAACTGTTCAGGTTTTCGACCTCTGCGGTCGTATCAGGCTGCGCTCAGCGAAGCATTTTATTTGTTCATTGTAGGAGTTAACATCTGTTCGTTGGTTTTCTCTTTTAACTTGTTCCTCATTATGTCATACCGGGGCCTTTAAGACGGTATGTGTTTTGCTCCTTGTTGACGGCCGTACGGCCCTCCTACAAATCAAATGGGAAATAGTCAACATATGATGGGTTTTGGAAAACCATACTTTTGTTTGTTTAAAAAAAAACACTGACTGATTGAGAGTCCTATTGTTTACACCTTACTTAAAATAGAAAATATTTGATTTAATTTAATAGTATTTTATTGCATTAATCAAGCAATAGGATTGGACACAAGTTATAGCAACTTATATTAAGTCCTCTCCTTACATATACAATACACATATATGATGACAGCAAACACATACATAATATAGCGACAGTTATAGAAAATAATGGAAGGAGACACACATTGGCATGGCAACAAAAAAAGCAAATAGGACAGAAAGAAAAAAGAAAGCTGCTGACTTAGAACGTTAAAATCTTTTTGACTGTTTAATGAAATAACGAACTTTATCAAAAATTTTAGAGTTAGTTAGAAAATATGGTCAGGTTCTTAAACAGAAATTCGAAATGGGGTATATTCACATGACTTTATTTAAAGAATATACCAAAAATATAAATCTGATATAAAATGCACTACATCTATTATATATGTGCTACCGAATTCATAGCATACAAAATTGTTTCTAGAATAATCTTCTTGACTTTGCTAGAGACGGAACATTTCGGAGTTGAATGCATTGGAAGATTAAAAATTATAGAAATCAAAATTGCTGAAAGTCAACCTAGCCATAGGATGTTAATCCCTAAGTTTTAGTGTCATTTAAAAATTTATAAATCTGATTTTATAACTTTCAGGAAGTGCTAGCTTTTTATGTAGAGGGTTCGAAGTGACGTTGCTTACGACAATTGGACATTACGCACGATATTGGTGACGTTTTGATTTTTTTTAGTCTTATGAAGCAATTTTACCGTTTTACCATAAATTACAAACTTGTTAATCTTTTTGTTTTGGACGGTGATGTTCCTTTGGTCCGTTCTTCCAGTGTGTGTATTTCCCACTTTGTTCGCTATGCCTTTGTCTGAAGTGACGTTTAAGATTTAAATGACCGAAATGTCCAAATCTCGTAAATCGATTACGAAAAGACAAATAAAGGTAATTAAAAAAACCGAGGGAATATAACAGTATAACCTAATATCAAACTGTACAAATCAGTTGGAAAAGGCTTGACTCATTACATCGGCACGAAAACAAAAATAAATAATGAAAAACAAAGACACGATCAATGGGTAATTGCATTTTCTGAAAGCTAGATCGAATCCAATAACAACTCGCCCCCATATATTTTTCTTATTTTAAACAGCTATATTGTCTCACACCCATTTTTTTGTGTGACCTTGACCATAGACTAAGTGACTTGAAAGTCAATAGGGATCTTCTGCTTCATCACCTAATCATATGTGACCACATATCCAAGTAAGATTACAATCCTATATAATGCTTCATAAAACCAGTTTTCTGCACATATTTCGGTCATTTTTTAGTACCTTTGACCTTGACCTTAGACATATAAACATCTATATGGATATTCCTTTAATTTTATGTGATCATGTATCCAAACAGGTTTGCAATCTCATGTCTAGTTTTTGATTGAGCATCCGGAAAAAAGTTTTGTGCAAAAAGTTCAGTTTATTTTCAGTAACTATCACCTTAACCTTTAATATTGACCTTAACCTTTGAGGTATTGACTTCAAAATTGATGTTCCTTTCATTATACGTGAAAATATATCCAATTAAGTTTGCAATTATTTATGTAGAATTTGATTAAGCATCCGGAAGCACTTTTTTTTGCACACATTTCGGTCTACTTTTAGTAAGTACGACCTTTACCTTTGATATGGTCACATCAACATCCATAGAGATCTTCCTCTCCTTATATGTCACCATGTATCCGAATAAAGTTACAATCCGATAAAATTTTGAAGTATTTGAGTTAGCATCCAGAAACCAAAATGACTAACGGACCACCGCTACTTTCACAAGCACTTGTCTCTGAAAATAATTTATCTACACATATATACCTTAATAGACAAGTGCCTGTGGTTACTTTGTAGAGAGGAGTTTAATAATTTTATTCAACATACCAATAAGTATCATAAATTTACTGGGTCTATCAACAACATCAACGTAAATATAAGGACGTGATATCCTGTTGTATATCCTATAAGTTTTCTATAGGTACAATCAAACAGAAAAAAGGAATATTTACAATCCCTTCGTCTTCAACGATGTTGAGGTACCTGTAATTACATCACCTTAGGGATCATAACAAACTTGATCGTAACACAAACTCATGTTGAAGGAGCATTATTTTCTTACTGACGACTGATGTAACTGATGTATGATTAAAAATCAAAATTCCAATTATTTTTTTATTCGTGTACAAAAAAATAATTTCCTTTATGTTATCGAAATAGAAGGGTAAAAAGTTTAGCACAGTATAGTCATTAAACATTCTAGGCAGCACGGTTACCTACAGTTGCTAACTTCTACGTCATTAGGTCTCGTGTGGAAAATTGTCTCATTGGCAATCATTCCATATCTTCTTATTTTTCATAGAGATGAGTTGAAAAAAAACAATACCTCTGTTAATGTATTTTATTTCAAGCGTATTTTTTGCTTCATTTTTGTAGGCCAGTTAACGATTTTCTTAAAATTAAAATTGCCTTCTTATATATGTAAATGAAAATGTTTAATTAGTTAAAAGTCGTTTCCGGGCACTAGAAACACTTGGACATGTAAGGCACATTACATTTTTACTTTGCATAATTATATAAAAGAGGCGAAAATACAATAGAAGTTATCCTTCCTGTATGCATGGAACAGTTTAATCTGAATTATAGTATGTTATGATTTTTTATTGTGCGTAATGAATGTACAATGTAACGTGTCTACTCGAAACAAAGATGGACGAACGTGTGCTTGTAGTCCTCACGTTCATGTTCGTCAGTAATATTAACTGTATTCAAGTGTTATTAGTATCTATGGATGGCTTCAGATGGGACTATTTGACGAAAGTTTCCACTCCGGACTTTGATCGCCTTGCTCGACATGGAGCTAAAGCCAGTTACATCAATAACACCTTTATAAGTCATTATACTATATTCGCAGGCAAGTTTAATTCAGAACAAACTTTGATTTCGCCAAGTCGTTCATCCTTTGTGGGCATGTTTTTTATAAATTTAATTGTTTCCTCCTAAATTAAAAAAAAAACTGTTTCAGAAGGGAAATGAGCTAAAATGTGTGTTTGTATGGAAATATTTGTTTTAAAACTGAGAGATATAAAACAACTCTAATTGTAAAAAAAAATCGTGTTCCTGGATGTTATTTAAAAGAATAGTTTGTTTTTCTAATTAGGTTGATTATCCCTTAGAAGACTATTCTAGCTGCCAAAAAAAAAAGATGAAAGATCGAATGGGGTTGTGGGGAGTTCAAATTCTTCTTGTTTCATTTTATATTTTTTTATTTTATGTTATTGGCTTTGTCTAATCTTATAACTAAGACATGTAGCATACACTCCATGCAGACAACAAGCCAACTACATAATAAAACCATAAAATGTATGCATATCAACGTGTTATTCAGGCCTTAGCAATAGATAAGTGTCTATACCGTAATACACATACGCTCTAAAGCTTTTAAACAATTATCTGCCATTAACAAATATTCATCTGCATATATTTCTGTTCCTTTGGCTAGTGCTTTTACAGCCGTTCTGGTAATTGTTATTTAATACTATGACAAGGCTTATATATTAATAATAACGGTATTGACATTTCTGGAGTGTTAAAAAAAAATCGTCGTAAGTCTTGAATAAGCTAAGTTTCTGTTGAGAGTCACTGTGTTTCTATTGATGTTTCTCCTCTGTATACTAAACTATCACAAAAATTCTTTAAACTAAGCATTTTCTTTCTAATAATTTGATTTTTCGATAAGTTTGGACGTTACTTTATATATTGTATTCATTACAACTTCTTTAAAGCAATAAACTTACAAAATAAACTAATTGGACATGTCTCAAGTCAAAAGTCTGTAATTACATGTTTAAGTGATTGTCGTTGCATGGTTTCCGTCTGCTATACATGTATTTGATCTTCGTTTATTGTTTAAGCATAAACGGTGCCGATGGTTTGCTCGTTTGAATTGGTTCTCATTGTGTCACGCCGGAGCCTTTTAAAGCTAGGCTGTACGTTTTAGTTTTACTTATGGTGACCTAGTGTTGCTCACATCTCAGTCCTTTTGTTTCTGGTGGATATTGTCACAATTGCAATCATGCCACAACTATCTATTTTTATAAAAAGAGCCATTAGATTAAAGTATACTCTCAATTTATTGGTAATCCGATATGGACTAACTGCTTCGGCTTTCTATCGAAGATTTGTGAATCACAGATTATGGGTATTCAACATAAAGTAACACCACCTGAAAGATATTTCAGCAATGCGTGCAGGGGGAAATTACTGATTTATAAAACAGTCCAGATATGTCTTAATATACAAATGCAATTATTTTATATCCGCCTCAATTTACTTTTACTTGATCCGATGTTGATAGTGATGGTCGAGGTCTTTAGATATACGCGGTTTTTAAATGACGTTTCAGGTTTCGATTAACGCAATATTTACACAACTGAAAAACTTTTGCAGCAGGGATATGAAATACTATTATCATAAATCTGTCAAAACTTTTACTAGATGTTATCAGAGATTTATCGAGGAAGAATGGTTCAACCGGCAGAATTTGAAAAAAAAGTTATATTTCATGCGCAGCTTTTAACTATTTGTGTTTTTAATCTTTTATATTTTATCTATATTCTATAATTGATTAAAGGTTATGAATATACTGTTGTGTAATAACAACAGTACATTTGGTATAGAATTTTAGTTAATGAAAATTGTAATATTGCGGAAAGATTTAAGGGAATTTTTTTAATGCTTTAAAAGCAATGTTACAGAGGATTAATTTCAAATGCGAACTTTTATTAAATGCATGCAAGAAGAAATACATACAAATTATGATAAAATTACAACAAAATTGGTAATGAAAGTATTACTTTTATCAAAAGCTGAATGGTGACTGCAAACTCGTGCATATCAAACCAAATGAAAAATGAAAACTAAATAAAAAGTCTCTTTTGAATTTTCCCAGTTTAGCTTAGCGCGAACCATTTCATTGCCTGAATCGGTAGTGTGGCTCTTTGTCGGTTGCTGAAATTCTATATGTTATCTGTAGTTGTACCGATATTCATTTTCCTGTATTTAAGTCTTTGTTAAATGTTTGAACAGACAGACGTTGAGCAAATGTCTGAGATTGATACAATGATATTATTGAATTGTAGGTCTATATGAAGAAAGTCATGGGATCATTTGAAATAAAATGTATGATCAAGTTATCAACAGAAATTTCAGCTTGAAAAATCACGAAACCAGATGGTGGAATGGTGGAGAACCATTATGGGTAACTGCTCGTTGTCAAAACCTGACAAGTGCAACGTATTTCTGGTCCGGAAGTGAGACCGAAATCAGGGGGTACAGGCCAAACATTTGGAAGCCGTATAAAAAATCAGTGCCTTTCAAAAATCGCATTGATACTGTTATAACATAGTTGACGGATAAACAAATAAATCGGGTAATTCTGTATTTCAATGAACCAGATGCCACTGGACATGCCTTTGGTGCTGATTCACCTCAGACAAAGGACAAGGTTAAAGATATGGATGAGATTTTATGATATCTTTTGGATAAATTTGACTCACACAATCTCTGGAACAAAGTGAATTTGTTAGTGACCAGCGATCATGGAATGACAACTATAGATACTACTAACAAAGTAGTGGACATTGCGGATCATGTGGATATGAGCAAAATACAGTTTACTGTGGACAACGGTCCAATAATGCAGGTCCAACCTACTTTAGGACAGATAGATAATGTTGTCCGAAGTCTCCGGAATGTTTCACATATTTCAGTTTTCATGAAGGAAGAAATACCGGATTACTGGCACTTTAAAAACAACAGACGCATCATGCCAGTATTTATGCTTGCCGAAGAAGGTAGTGGTCTATCACAAAGGTAAGTGAAACTATTGTATGAGGGTACACATGGCATTTACAAAAGGACAACTCAAAGTATTTCCTAAAAAAATAACTATCTGTACTGCTACTACATGCCACTCGGTCTCACAATGAGCTCAATCTAGTATCAACTGTCTATAGTTGGTTGACAAATGTTCTATCAATACACGTTAGAGATCGATCCCATATCTGTCAATTGACTCAGGACGATAAAGACTGGTTCTATTTTACCATGGGAAGAAATTGCAATAAGTTCAAATCTGGACAGTGCACACGATTGTGTCTTACTGTGCTGTGCATGAGATATAGCCACCTATATTTGGGTATTGCATTTCTTTCTTTGATTCGGAATTGTATATTTTGTTTTTGTTATCAGTTATCTGGTCTTATTGTGTCGTTTGTTTTTCCTTGTTTGTTCTTTTTTGAACGTTTTATTAGTCAACTTATCGATAGTAAAAAGAGGGAAGATTGAGATGGCAACAATCTAGTTTACAACTCCGCCACAGGTTAACATATTTGTTCAAGTTAGAAACCTCGTTAGTAGTCTTATGTGTCATATCTACACTTGTGTGTTTTTTTATTTATTTGAGGAGTTTTTGTGTTGATAGCAGATCCTATTAGTTTCTCGTGAATCTGTTTGATAATTCATGGACTGGGGGCGATTCGGAGTTAGAATATTGTATAGGCACTTGTCTGTTGTTGACTTCTATACGTCTTTTGGATTGTTTTGGGTCGTTGATTTGCTGTCTCATTGCCGTATACACCACTTCTCTTTTTATTCATTATGCTGATCTACAATCTGACCATCATGTTTAAATATAAAAATAAGGAGATATGCTATGAGTGGCAATGCGACAACTAACGTATAGACAACTTCTCTTTTTATTCATTGATGCTGATCTACAATCTAACCATCAACTTTAAGTATAAAAATAAGGAGATATGGTATAATAATAATAATAATAATAATAATAATAAATTCTTTATTTAATGATTGGCAATGCGACAACTAACCACCATAGTGGTGTTAAAGTCTATGTTTACACAAAATTGATTTAAAGACCACGCCTGATAATTTTCTCAATTAGATTTTAGATATGGCTTATTCTCTTACAACGAAGTGGCAGTGATTTTTTTTGTATTCATCGTGAAATCCCGTTATGATCAATTTACCACTAGGAACATTTACATACATTTAACGGCTGTTGTTAAATGGAGGAAAGTTAAAATTTATTGTATTGTCATAAAAGACTTTCAATTATAAAATCAAGCTTTCATACAATATTTGAGTTAAGTTTGAAACGTAAAGTAGACACGATGTCTATATATAGTCCTGCCATTTTCCGGTACTGCAATCCCAGATAATATAATACTGAAAGTTACATGTTGTTTCCAATTTCAGAACAAAACAATAGCAGCATTGTATCGTGGGAGAGGCGCGCATGGTTATTACACCCATCTAAATAGTATGAAACCAATATTTGTGGCTAGAGGTCCAAATATCAAAGAAATTATATAGCAGACACATTCAGAAGTATCGATATCTATCCCACGATCTGTCATTTGTTAGGAATAAAACCAGCACCAAACAATGGCAGTCTAACCGTAACTTCAAGTTTTCTTGAAGCGACTTAAGGCACTAATGCCGCGAATGCGAACATTGTTTCATTCTGGACATTCATTTTATGTACAATACTAAATATATTAGGAACTGTTTGTCGTTAGACAATGATTAGGAATGTCGTTAGATAATGATTAGGAATTATCTGTTGTTTCCATATTTTACAATTATATTTTATTTGTTTATTTTCATCTGAATTGCTAGTGATTGCATAAATTACTTTACATAGAGCAGCGTCGAAGCATGGCACAACATATTTACCCGGTTCCTTGAAATCAATTCATAATTTCTAAGAAAGTCCGCAAATCCATGCACTATGTTTAACCATTTTAAAGACATAGTCTTTAATTTTGTAAGGTTATAAATCAGAAGCATGTTTACTGTGTGGTGTAATTATCTTTTTTAATTTAAAAATCCAAAATATAGTTTTTGAAGCGTACAAGTTTTAAGTAAATAAAATATTGTTTGTAACATTTAATATATCTAAAAATAAACGAGGACTACATTTATATAGATTGTTTGCCAGTTGAACAGTGTCAGTTGTGTATGTTTCTGCCTCATACAGTACACTGGTCGAATTAAGGTGTTGGTGGATCAGTGGCTGTGTTTTGATTGCTTGTGATGTTTTGCCTCCTGCACTGGTTATTAAACAAAGGTCCAGAGTATTCTCCGGCTTGACATACTTTAAGAGTGGTCCTTCCAAAATTTACACAACGTCCTCCAATCCGTCGTGTTCGGTACTGTAAATACGAAAGATAACTGTGGGTATCAACAAACAATAACATAACTGCACAAACAAAATTAAGACTTGAACCTGTAATCCAGTGGTTGTCGTTGGTTGCCGTGTACCATGTTTGTTTTTTGTTCATTGTAGCAATGTTCGTCCGGTCGTTGGTTTTCTATTTTGAATTGTTTTACATTGTGTTATACCTGGGCTTTTTATAGTTTACTATACAGTTTGAGTTTTGTTCATTGTTGAAAGCAGTATGCTGACCGGTAGTTGTTCACATCTTTGTCCTTTTAGTCAATGGATAGATGTCTCATTGGCAATCATGTGGCATCTCCTTATTTTTATATTTGCAATAGCTAAAATATGTGGACAGTGCTTTTTTAGTTACATTTTAAACTTTGGCAAAAATGACAATCATAGAACCACCCTAGAAACACATACATGGTACCGGTTTAAATCATAGCAGAATTATCTCTGTCATACCTCAGCAAAAGTTGTTAGATATGTTTCGTTACAAATCTTTTTTTATGCATTTTAAGTGTTTGCTATGCTATGATATTATTCACTGATATCATTAGTTGATTCATATGTGATCCTTATAAAATAACATTAAGAAAATTTAGATTTTTTTTTTAATTACGGCAATTTATCATGTACATGCATCGGTTCAAGTTATGTGTTTAAAGGCGTTTTTTTGTTTGTACCGACAATTAAGCAGCCCCTAAAAAAAACATGAAAAAAAACGAGAAAAACAGACAAAACAAATACAAATATCATATGTAAAAAAAAATGTATGTTTCCAAAATTATAAAAATACCATTTGTGCACCCAGATAACACTTTATCAACTTACCGTTTCAACTTCTACATAACATTCAACGTCATTTGGAGATGGCGTATCAGGTGCAAATCTCTGAATCTCATCTCTACTGAGAAAACCATCACCGGCCGCTTCTAGTAAAGCTTGATAACTTGGATTTGTTAATGTCTGTAAATATTTAAAGTCTAAAAAACTATGTTGCGGGTAAATATTGGTGTCGGTTAAAAGTAAAGATAATGCAATTTCATCAAAATGATCTGTAAAGGCTGTGGATAGATAGGAAGTAAATATATTCAGCAAATTGGAATTTGGTAAAACCATATTTTTGTTTGTACAAAAAAAAACCCACTTGAGTTGAGAGTTTTATTTTTTACGACTTACTGAAAATAATCATTTTTTTAATTCCAACTGCGGTATATATGTTACAGGCATTTTCTAAATTTAGGCATTTTGTAAAATGACTGAATTTTCAGGCAATTTATAAAATGCCTAACCTTGACAGGCAGTATATAAAATGACTAAAAATACCTAGTCATTTTGCAAAATGACTGAAATTTTGAAACGAAATACAACAAATTTCCTGTTCAGTTTCAGGCAATTTGTAGAAAAAGAATATCATTGAGATGCATATGACAAAAAGTTGACAAAACACAACATCTTGCAAAGAAAATAACTAATGGTTCCGTAGAATTAATTTATTCTTCAAAAACCAGCTGGGAAACTTTATATGTCATATGATATGTTCTTTTTACGTTTAGTATGTACTCACTCTGTATTTTTATATAGCAAATTTATGATTATTTTGTCAAAATGGCAGAAGGACAAATTGTTCTTTCAATAGAACAAAATTTACGAACGAATTTTTAGAAAATCCAGATTCAAAACAGTGAAGTGAAACATATGAAGCAGAGAAAAAGAAGTTTGTTTTTAATTGACTGATTGCTGTGTTTGCTTTCAGTAGCAAATATTTCATGTATTTTTAAGACCAGAACAATTTGGTTATAATTCATATGGGTTATTTCTGCAGTGGATTAACCTGGATAAAGGACAGGAATTTCGACTGCCACTTGAAATGAAGGTATTTTGGATAGGGACAGAAAATGACACCTGCAGAACGGCCAAAGAGTTCTAAACGTGCAGAGAGTGTTGCACTTTACTAACAAGCGGCAATATATTTAATGTCCCATTCAGAAAGAATGAGAATTTATACATCCACATCCAAACAAATTTCCCTCAATAGCATGGGTGCAAAGATATGAATATCTTCATCCTCAAGGAAAATCCTGGGTCTTTGCAATCTGATGAATTAACGAGACAGTAGTTAACTGAGGTTAAAATCTCGAAAATCTACCAAGAAGAGACAAATAACGGTGCATTGACAGGGTAAGCGTCTCGAGTTATAGATGCATCACCCGTCATGGGCAGATCTGCTTCAGCTATAAGCCAAAAGATACAAGTCAAACTAATCATGGTAATGTACTTTAAATCTTTTTGGAACATATGAAAAAGAAGATATTCATGTGTGACGTGTGTGCTTATTGCGAAACCCAATGCTGTCGAACGTTAAGGGCATACAATACAGCTTTGATCCCACGGTGATTTTTTTACGAAAATTTGCTTACAAGCTATTTTTTACCTCGGCAATTCAAAAATGTAATAAAAAATATACCTTCATGTGCTACTTTTAGAGATAAATGGGGTCGAAATTTTAGACATTTACTGGACATTTCGGTTTCTTAGACATTTCTGTCCTTTTAAAAGTCATACCTAACTTTTTTGTTTCAAAAGATAAACGCAAGCGGATTTTTGTAAAAACATCTGGAATATCTTCTCTACATAAGTGAGTTTTGAATTTGTGTAACAATTCTTTGGAAATAACTCATTTTATCACATTTTCATGATTTTAGTCAAAAAACGGCATTTTTGGCTGTATATTTATCTAATTTAAAAAAATTTCATCGGTGAAATATTCATAAAAATTGGTACACATAATCTTCATACATAACCAAGCCAAGTGTCGTATTTAAAAAGAGGGGTTCATGAACTCGTTTTTAAGTTAAATCAGTCTGAGGGATGATAAAAATCAGTCGAAAAATGCATCTTTTCTCGATATGCAACAGTTTGACGTCGCGAAAAATAACATTTTACGTTAGCAACGACATTACCTCCCCTGTAACTGTATCGTTAAGTGTTTTATCAGAAAAGGTAACGAAAGAGCTATATGTGTCATGATCCAGCTTTCTCCAAATGTGGTCGAAGTGCTAAAACCAGATTTTACACAAAACTATGTATTTGCAAAAAATCAGGACAAATATTGTGTACAGTTCTGTCATCCAAACATTTTCAGAAATAAAAAAAATAATTGTCGAGTTCTGTGCTTGTGTGAATTTGGAATAATTCAGTAAAACTTATTTTTGATTATTAAAACTCTTAAATTGCAAGATTTAGTAATTATCATAAATAAAACTGCTCTGTTGTTCAAAGCTTTCAATTGTTGTTTTTTTTTTAAATTTCATTCTATGAAATAATTTCAGGCATTTTGTAAAATGCCTTTCAATTTTTCCAGGCATTTTGTAAAACGCCTAGAACAATTAGTCATTGTGTTAAATGCCTGAATCTTGTAAAATAAGTACAAAAAGCCTAAATCTAGAAAATGCCTGCAACATATATACATGAAGATTTTCAGGCTTTAGTTAAAGTACACCGACACCAAACATTTATCGTATGTTAAATCATGGAAGTATTATATTGATATAATACTTCCATGGTAAAATGAACTACATCTATTATATATAATTATGCCGTCGAATTCACAACGTCTGGTGCAGTGAAATTTATGCCGTTAACGTTATAAGACTTTTACCACTGCATGGGTCAATACCTCTGCTGGTAGACTTTTATAGTCCCGAGGATATCACCACCCCAGTCGAATTACTGGCATGAACATACGGATAGTGTTTTATTGAAGTTTGCTGTTATAAGATTTTGGAAATCATTTTCAATTAGGGAATGTCTCCCTGGCCTCGTAAATAGCTATGAATCCTTGTATAAAATTTGATTTTAACTTGTGGTCTATTTTAGTTTTATCAGTTCTTCAACGTTTGAATTAAGTTTTTGGATTTTCAATATTTTGACCTTGAGCATCCCTGAAGAGGCGTCGAAATGCGCATCTGGTGCAGTAAAATAAAACTGATACTGTTTATACAAAACTAGTTTCTAGATTGATCTTCCTAAATTTGTTGGAGACGGAACATTTGTGTAGTTGAATGCATTGGAGGCTTGAATAGGTCAATCTAGCCATTGGAAGTTAATCCTTCAGTTTAAGTGTAATTTTAAAATTTACAAGTGGAAGTTGTAATACATGCTGGCTCCTTCCCTTTCACATCTTTACGATGTAAAGAAAAGATATTTTCAAATGCAAACATTTTTAAAAACCTATGAAACCATGACACAAACTAGTATAGATATTTTTAATCTAATAGCTTTTAAATTTTATGCAGGGAATTCGTAGTGACGTTGCACAAGGTACTGTAAATTCAGAAATTATTGCGAGGTTTTTATTAATGCGAATAATGCGACTCATTGAGTATCGCAATAATAAGAACTCGCATTCTAAAATCTGATACACATGTCTTAAGCAAATGTTTCTGAAATCGCAATAATAAATCTCGCATTTTTGTCCTTTTTTCAAAAATCGCAATAATAAATGAACGCATTAATTTCTGAATTTACAGTATTAGTAGACATTTTTGGAAACTATTCGATACTGACGCTTACACCTGTAACCTTTTTGAGAAGGGGTCATCTCAATATGTACAACGACCAGAGTCATTTATATATTTTTAAATACTGTATAAAACTTTTATTTTGAATGATATGCTACTTAATTAGTTGGTCTTAGTTCTGTTTATTAGCTGAGAATTGATCGATCTTAATATTGTACTTTGGAAAAAAAGGGGGGGGGGGGGCTTTTGTGTAAATTAGTAAAACTTTAATCAGAAACAAGAACGTGTAAAGTCTTTTATAGCGTGAAACAGAACGTATAAATATATAGATTTTAGTATGCGTTATCCTTTGTGTTATCACTGCGGGACGGAATTTTACAGCGGTGTTCAAAATGCATTGTAAAATTCCGTACATCCCTGATAACACTAAGAAAACGAATTTTTATTTCTTATGAAACTTTCCTTTACTAATTTTTATACCTTCATAATTCAGCAATGGTGTTGCTGCGCGTTTTCAAATATATATTTTTTGTAAAGATGAAAAGGGGGGGGGGGGGGGGGGGGGGGGCGTGGGTTTCAAAATATTTTTATGTTTAGTTTTGGGAAATCGTATTTTTTGGGACTTTCGGCAAAAAAAAGTGCTTTTTTTATTTTGACAAAATTTTGTTTTTTTGTAATTTTTGAATTTTTTATTACTTTTTGCATTTCGTTTTTACTTTTTGCATTTCGTTTTTACTTTTAGCAGTTATTTTTTACTTTTGGCATTTTATTTTTTGGTGGAATTTTACTCTACAACAGTTTTTATTTTATACTTGAGTCACCGAAACGTCCATTACAAATCCTAAGACCTATTGATTTACATTGTTAAAAATATATTTGCTTGCTTCATAAGAAATAAGATACTTTATTTATGTTCCGAAAGGACTAGAAATTCAATTCGCTAATTTGATAGATTAAAAAAAGAACTACAAATCGAATGAAAACAGCGTTAAACGAAATTACATGAGATATGAAGGGAATCATATTCACTGTTGGCAAAAGCATAATCCGAAACTGTTTTTGAATGTCATTGAAAAAGGAAAGGATAACACTAGTTTTAATTTAAAGTCAGATGGTTTTTATAATCATTTCAAAAACTGGCTTAATTGCTGAAACCAGTCCTAATATAACCGATGATTTTGAATTTAGTGATCAAGGGTATTTGTTTAACGAGATGGTGCGCCTAATACTCCAGAAGAATGTATTTAAAAATCGCATGGTACTGACAATTTGTTAAATGAGTATTTTCTACATTTTAATGAAATGCTGATGCCTCTAATCGTACAATTATTAAATGTTATTTTTGAATGTGGGTAAATGCCAAGACAGTGGTGTAAAGGAATACTTATTTCAGTGCGTAAATTTTGCTGATATACACAGAGGACTCATAGAGTTATCACACAATAAAGTAGTTGTTTTTACGAACATTTTACTACTATTATCAACGAAAGGCTCACATTATGGCCCAACGAAAATGACATTGAACAGATGTACAGTTTGGGTTCAGACTCATGGTACAACTGATGCTATTTTTGCCTTACATTCAGTAATTACTAAACATTTAGGTTTATAAAAAAAACCTGTATTGTTGTTTTATAGATAATAGAAGTGCTTTTGACAACTTGAAAATAAATTTTCTATATTTAAAGCTTGCAAGATGTGCTAATACTAGTTAACTATTTTGAATGATAAAATCTATATATGATAATTCTGTTGTGTAAAGTTTAAAGGAGAATTTTCTGACCATTTTCTCTGTGGAAAAAAGGTGTTTTACAAGGGGAGTCATTATAACCCATATTATTTTCATTTTTTTGAAAATGAGTTTATTAATAACGTATATCTGCCAGTAGATATGAAAGAACTTTAATTATATTTAATGATGTTTGCAGACGACACTGTTATATTTTCTGAGACTATTGACGGATTGCAAAATATGTTGAATTCACTTCATTATTATTGTAAAAAGTAGAAACTTATTGTAAACACAAGTAAAACCAATGTGGTTGTATTCGGAATCGGTGGTAAATTACAAATCGATGAAAAATGGTTGTATAATGACGAAACTATTCATGGTGCTGATCATTATTTATATCTTGCAGTTTGTGTTACATTACAATGGAAAGTTTAATCAAACGCAGTTTAATATTGCTGCTAAAGGGAGAAAATGTTTATCAATGTTGTATAGTAAATAAAAAATATGTGTGTACATGTACAACCAAAATTGTATTAATTCGATGTTTATATTTCACCTGTATTATTACATGGAAGTGAAAATTGGGGTTTCATAATGCATCTGATATAGAAAAACTTCATTTAGAATTCTGTAAAATATAATGACAATTAAAAAATCCACTCCTACTGCAATGCTTTATTCTTAATTGTCGTAACTACAATCCCGTCCCCTTTTCCCCGAATGTGACCTACCGATTTAGACTTATTACCGGGTTGTTTATTATTTATACTTTGTAGTCTTGCCTCTGATTGTATTTAAAATGATGTGATATAATTTCTGATATACCTATAAGCTGTATTGCTTCAACTGAAATTACACAAAATTACAAACCGAATGTTTGGATACCGTGTTTAAGAAAATGTCATTTCCTGTTTTCGGTTTCAGCAACGTTGATATTGCTTTTACTACACAATAACTAAAACAAAAGCAATATTGTTGCCAAGTTTTACGACGTTATTCGAAGAAATACGATACATATAGACAAAAAAAATACAAAAACGTTGGACGTGACGTTTCTGTGTGAAATTGGCGTAATCAGGTGCTACATAACTTATTTTTTAGTACAACTATTTGTAAGTCTATTGTACTTTAATTGGCCTAACATTACCCGGTGTACTTTTATTGAACTAAACGCGTAGCTTTAAAAAAAGTGACCCATAGCTAAATGGAGATTTTAACAACACCGTGCACAAGTCATCCTTTCCAAAACCTTTAATTGAATACTTCACACTAAGGTCACCAGAGGCTAAACTGTATAAGCAGCACCTCAAGATACAAAATGTATACGCAAATCCGTCTTGAATGACCGAGATATCTGAAAGTGAACTCGCCAGGTAAATGTTGTTTATATGTGAACCAAAGTATCAGCAACCATACTTTGATTCCAATCAACAGAAATAACCAGAGATCAAATTAGTGTTCTTGCTTAATTCACCTTGAAGCAGACTTATACAAGATATCAAATACAATTTTTCTAATAACGAAGGCAAAGTGAATTTAAACAACTTACCTGACTGTTGCCCATCTGTGAAGCAGCAACCATTCTTTTGCCCGAAATTCTTATTCCCTCACGGCAGAAGTAACCAAAAAGTAAACTCAAAATAACAGATACCCGAAAAAAGTATTCCATATTGCTTACGGCGACTAGTTGAGCAAAATGTTTTTCTTTTTTCAATCGGACAAAAAATATTCATATGAACGATCTCTACTACCACGCATTATTTATTGTCTGGGAATAATTTATAACTGTCATGTACCCTTGATATGGAATACTTTGATGTATCCACTGATATGGACCTTAATGTCATTCAACATTTCTTTGATAATGAATAAATTGCGGAACAGATCTAGGCGATATACAAAAAATACTGCAATTACACACCAATTGATAAAACAAAAACCAATTCACGATTCTAAACCGGAAATATCGGCACCAGCAGATCATTTACGGAACTTAAACTGCAGAAAAATACAGCGAAAAGTCAGTCTGATTCGATACAGATAATCAAGTTGTTCGAAGTACCACCCTAAGCTGTCTGTTATTATATAAAGTACGCAAAATAAATTTGACTGAATGTCGATAATGTTAAATTACTTTAATCGTTTAGGACGATCAATGACGCAAAAATATCAAATATTAGATTTGGTGTTGTTTAGACTATGTATGTATGTTGTCACAAAATGTTGAAAACAGACATTTTTTTTCATATGATGAAGACTTAATCTTTCAATCAGTTTAAATGAGGTCTGGAGCTGTCATGTTTGTAACTGCTAGTAGCCCTTTGTTAATTTATGTTGATCATTGTCATTTTGCTTAGTTTCTTCTGTTTATATCTTTTCTGACATCGTACTCGGACTTCTTTTAAACTGAGTTTTACTGTGCGTATTGCTGTGTGTTTGTTAATTCTACATTAGCTAGAGGTATTGGGAAGGGTTGAGATATCACAAAACATGTTTAACCCCGCCGCATGTTTGCGGTTGTCCAAATGTCAGGAACAGCTGGCCTTTGTTAGTCTTGTATGTTTTTAGTTTTGGTTCATTTATATGTTTCGGAGTTTAGTGTGACGTCCATTTTTGCTGAACTAGTATACATAATTATTTAGGGGCCAGCTGAAGCCCGCCTCTCGCTGTGTTGAAGACCTATTGGTGGCCTTGGGCTGTTTTCTGTTCTTTGGTTGGGTTGTTGTCTCTTTGACACATTCCCCGTTTCAATTTTTAATTTTATTTGAATGAAGAGCACATGTCAGAAAAAAAAGTTGTCTGCTTGCTCACAAAGTGGCTCTTTTTATATTGTCATAAGAAAGTAACAACTGTACATGACATTAACTTTTGACTTTTCAGTTCTATGGACTTTTTTGGGAAATTACTTGCCCCCTCCCTGAATTACCCTTTCATCATTACAGAAAAGACTCCCTGGTTAAGTTTCCCGCTTTGATAACAGCATGACTCGGTAAGCAGATCAAATTATTAACGTTGGCAGTTGACACCAAGATTTGTATGTTAACTAACAATGTGCAGTTTACTATCCATATTCATATACTTTACATCTTTAATTGGTGTATCTACTTTATATCAAAACTGAGAGAGAAAAGAGAGGCGAAAGATATCAATTAAAATTAAATTTCCCTCTATCTAATTAAGCACAAGACCTCCAATGACCAATAAAATAAGACCTTATCACAAGTAGATTGCAAACCAATCACCTTCTAATAGATAATACAATAAATCGTTTGCAAGAGATATTCAAAATTAATACATATAGTATAATCAATGCAACAAGTATGAATGGCAGAAAATCCACTCTACCACATCCTCCCCCGGTTGCAAATGACGTCCTCGTCAACCTAAAATATAAACTATACAACTCTTTCTCACTGGTCTTGAGAGAAAGAGACGTCCTCGTCGAACAAATAAATAAATATAAAAACATGAAAATATGAAAGGGAATGCTAATCTGTATCAGTGACAATCCTCAGTAAGGCATCTTTAACTCTGTCTTCAGATCCTCGATGTGGTAGAGTGAATTTTCTGCCATTCATACTGGTTGCATTGATTATACTATATGTATGTAATTGTAAGATGAATGAATGTGATGTACAATTGATGAATAAAGAACCCTTTAACTCAGACTTATTTGTAATTGATGAACCAGAAAATTAGACTTTTACAATGGCGCCCACGTATATGGTTTATTCCAAGGATGGATCTTCACAATGGAAATTGGAATGACATAAATTTTATATTGAATATTACTTGCTGATGTATTATGAATTGATTGATAGATTTCAATTTGACTATAGAATATTCAGTATGTATATAGAAATGTGGCCTGAAAGTATATTAGTACAGTTGTATATCTGATTGGTATTACATGACATTTGTTTAAAAACTACAAATATTTGAATGTATAAAAGAAGAAGACACTTATAACTTGATTTGAGCATTTGATAGGTTATTGCATGAACTTTGGTTGCTTTACTTATACATTGTAATCACTGATATACCTTGTGTAGATAATTTATGTGTACACTTTTGATTTTTACTTGATTTTTATACTTAAATTTTGGGAAACAGTTAAACTATTTGATTAAAAATAAATTGATTGAAAAATTATTTAGAATTCATGTTTCATTGTAATATTTTTGGAACTTATTCTGAGACTTAGCTTATTTTTTTTAATATTTAGAAAGTAAATAATCTTACAGTTTTGGAATTAAAAGTAATTTTACAAGTAAAATTTTACATTTAAAGATTTGAAGGTAGTTTATTTGATGTTGTTTACTTTGTATATTTGTAATTTATAGTATTATTATCTATAATTGTAACTTATAGTTTGATATTTGTAATTATAATACAAAGGTCATTGTTAAATAAAGATTATCCCCTGAGAGAAAGCTATCCCATCCCAAACCCATAGCATACACCCATACCCATACTTAAAAAGATAAAAGGTAAGATCTACACAATTAACACAAGTTTAGTACAAGGAGCTATATGAGACATTAACATCACTAGTTGAATACATAGTAGGTATACTCAGTACTCAGTAGGTACATATAGATAGTAGATTGGAGTTAGGTGTTTTGTATTTACATCAGTTTGGGATATGTAAGTTTAGGTTATTAGTGTTAGTATATACATAGGCGCATAGATAGAAGTACACTGTTGTAAGTATAGTACAAGTAGTATTTGTTTCCTAAAGAGGATAAGATATTATTGTAACGGTTAGTACAGTGCATAGAGTTCAGTTATTTTTGTACTGTGAGTATATTGGTTGGTTGAGTTTGGCTTAGGTTAGTTGATTGGTGTTTAGTGGTTTGATATATGTGTTAGGTTTTAAGTCTAGCATATCTTCAGGATACATCAGGTATTATAATATATATATATATATATATGTTTGAACGTTGTTTTCAATTTAGACTTGTATATATATATATATATATATATATATATATACAAGTCCAAATTGAAAACAACGTTCAAACCTATGATTGCGTTGGATAAAAACCGCAATTTTTATACGTGTGCATGCAAAACAAATTTCTTGGTAGAGGGGTCTAAATACAGCACAAACAACATTTTCCAAAAGACCAAATGAGTGAAAAAGTATATTTTAACAAAACGCATTTGTATCAATGTGGATATATATATATATATATATATATATATATATATATATATAGATATAGATATATGTGTGTGATCACACAATGGTAGGTATTCAGTTTGTGTGATTGAAGATAAAGTAACAGACTGGTGAGTGAATATACTTATATATATATATATCCACATTGATATTAATATACTTGTATTTTCAGATAGATTGTTCCAGATAGCTATTAATCATTTCAATTTCTTTTTGATTGTAGGTACATTAATTAATTTGTTGATTATCTAATTTATTTCAGAAAACTTATTTCGTTAAGGTGAGTATTTAGGTAAGCATCATGTCTGAGGAATTGACGGAACAGGATATACAGAACATCGTTAGAGCTTTTAAGGATATGAAAGTCAAACCGAATGCCGATAAAACTGATGCGTTTAAGAATTGGATGAAGGAATTTTCCACCTTAAAGATGGACGATGTATTATATATGCCATACATACCGAAGCTACCTATCTTTTCAGGAGATAACAAAGGAGATTATGTTTCATACGATCTTTGGAGATACCAAGTAGCATGTCTTATCAAGGAGAATTACCGACATGAGATCATAGCCCAAGCCATTAGACGTTCTGTTCATGGAGAAGCTAGTCGAATTGTTATGCGATTAGGAGTTGAAGCAACAGTTGATGATGTCATAGACAGAATGGATAGCATCTTTGGATCTGTAGACGTCAAAGAAGTCCTTCTTGCACAGTTTTACACAGCATGTCAAGGAGACGATGTATCATCATGGGGTTGTAGACTAGAAGACATTCTGAATAAAGCACTACAAAGAGGAAATATTTACGAACAAGATACGGATGAAATGTTAAGAGCTAAATTTTGGAAAGGATAACGACCAGAACTACGTAAGGTTTCCATGCGCCGTCCATATTCCAGACGAAACTATAGTTCATCGACAGAATGACATAAACAGTCAGAGAAAAAGAGATAAAGGAGATAGTATATGCTGGAGATGCGGACAACAAGGTCATATTGCCGTAGGATGCAAATTCAGATTGGACAATTCAAGGAAAGTACAACATGCTTTGAATTTTCAACAAGTAACATTCGAGGAACAAAACATAAGTGGAAGTTTGACTACAAAGGAACAACGATTAACAGGAACGGCAAATGAGGTAACAGTTTACTTGAATGAAATGGAAACACACGGATTGTTGGATACTGGGTCAACTGTATCTACGATGAGTGAGACATTCTACAACAAACACTGCTCAGCAATGCAATTAGAACAACTCTCAGGACCTAATGTGCAAACGGCTTACAACTACCGTATATAGGATATGTAGAGGCAGAACTTCAACTGGAAGGAATTACAACACCTTACATGAAAACATATCCAGGATTACTTCTCGTAGTTACAGACAGCGATTACAATGCTACTACACCCTTGCTTATAGGAACTAACATCTTAAGTGCAGTTATGCAGGATATTGGGAAAGCGATTGGGCCAAGGTATTTACAGGATGCAAATCTCTATACGCCATGGTATCTCGCATTTAGAGGTATCACATAAAGGAACAAGGAATTGGAAAAACAACACAAAAGATTAGCTATAGTCAAA